AGTGTGGTGTAGTGGTTTGAGTGTTGGACTACGACTCTGGAGATCAGGATTCGAATCCCAGCTTGGCCATGGGAACCCACTGGGTGATTTGGGCAAGTCTCACTTTTTCAGCCTCACAGGCATTTAACTCCTTCTACCATACTCTTTAACTAACAAAAAAAAATCTTCTCCCTCAAGCTGTCATTTGCTTTGCCCAGGACAACACAGGAGCAGGGCAATTTCTATCAGGAAGAGCATGACAAAAAAAAAATTAAGTACTCCCTCCTTACATTGCTTCTCTTATCAACTTAGCAACTCCTTCCCCACAACTACATTTAATTTTTTAAAAAGAATGATCACGGATCTCCTGGCTTAAAATGTAGTTTGTCTCTAAAATAAATACTTTGGTAACATGCACAACACATGTAGTGACTTAAGCTTATGTGGTAGTTTCCCCAAAAGAAAAACTACTTCTCTTTTTTGCTTTCTTACCCAAAGGAGACCCTCAAGATTTTAGAGTTTGAGAAATATTTAACTTATTTCTTGATTATATCAGGACATTCATGAAAGAACCAGCTGTAAAACAGCTGCCTTTGATCTCTAAGCCTTGTAGCTAAAGACAGCTGTTTTTAACCACAACCTTTAGCCCTACCTGGTCAATTAGCTCTACATTTATAGGAGGTGACCTTTCACTTTTGGCCTTCGCTCATGTTTCAAGTTTCAGATTGGCTTCCTGTTTGCTGATTAAAGGATGACTGTTTATGGGAACTCACGGGAGCTACCATTTATTTTCATGTTAATTTCTGTATAATTTCTTGGCCTTTAATGGATGTCTTCATGCACACATGGATATTTTCACAGTAGTTTTTTTTTATTGAATGTCAAAAGTATAACTTTTTTTAAAAAAAGGAGACGTGCCCCCTAAATCTTTGTGGATGTTTGTAGTGTCTATGAACTGAATGATTTTTTCATTCACAGAAAACATCCATACTCTTGACTAACAATCAAGAGGCATTTCAGATATGCTGATTTCAGAAATGTTACTGAAAAAAATAACTCAAGTTAAAAGTGAACTTGGCTGAAATTTGGCAGGGATCTTCATACACAGTTCAGAAACAGTCACTCACTGTCTTAACTTTGTGATATTACCTAGATTAAGCTACAGTAAGATCTGTAATAAAATATTTCCTTCCTGGTATTAAATGCAGAGCTCAGAAAATTCATTTTTGCATGGCAGCTCCCAGAATCCTGTAGGCAGGGGATTGTTGGAATTGCAGTCTAAAGCTACCAGCAGATGGTGGCTTCCACTGCAGTGGGACAATGAATCCACTGTGGCTTTTAGTCTGCACTTTAAAAGAGTTGTCTATGAGATCAATGCGATCCAAGTGTCAGCACCCTGGATAGCTCCTTTCAAATTTGATTTGGAACCTAGAGTTCCTAGCATGGAACTAGCATGGAAGCTATTTGGAAGGCCAAGTGTCCCTTATTGATGGATTAAGCAATGATTTCAGAACCAACAATAAGTTATTATAGATACAGAATTCAAAACACAGTCATCTTGCATACTGAGCATACACTCAGTGGCGGCTCTCTTTCAGCAATACTAAGTCCTACAGGAATCTTCTCTTATGTATGATGTTCATAATGAAAAAAAGAGCCCCAGGTATACAAATGGATGGTTCATGTATTAAGTTATTGCATGAAAGATATATTCCACTGACAGCCTTTCTACACATGCCAGAATACTCCAGGCTGCCCTTAGAGTATTCTGGCCTCCATATTGCCCCCCAAATTGCCCCCCCACCTGATGAAGATGATGGGTGTCTGTGGTCCCTGATATCCAGCCAGTGCTGCTCATGCAGGTGCAAGTTGTTCTGAGGTCAGAAAAGGCGCCCAATTTCATTCTGACCTCAGAGCAACTCACATTCACAGAGCAACTTGGCAGGGTCACTAAAGGACCAGCAGCCATCTGTTGCTGCCCATCATCACCACATTTGGCTCTGGGATTTCTGGACAAGCCAGAGAAAAAGGTATGTACGTTTAATGTGAGATATGGGGTGGAAACCCCAAATTGGGTCCAGGCTTTGTGTAAACCTCCTGGACCTGATTCAGGAGTATGGGGCTGCATGATGTAAAAACCATGCAGCCAACTCAGAGGGAATCTGGAGTACAGAGCTATTGTAGACAAGTCATGAGAAAACAATGGCTAACACCCTCTTAATGACACATGCAGGCTTAGGTTTATCTTATATTCCATATGTGTGCTGCTGTTGTAATAGAGGTTACAATTCTCCACCTCCCTCATGTAATGAACAAAATCTCCTGATTTTTTTTTCATGCTGCTTCCTCCTGCCCAATATAGCCATTTAGTGGCTTATGAAGAGCATAAGACAGCTGAAAAATGTCTGGTTCTTGACAATAGCTAGATGCACAATCATGGTGGCATCATCTGGGATCTCTTGGGGCTCCTCTGGACATTCTAGAAAATAGTGTTGTCATTGATGTGTCTGGATATAGTCACAGAGCTGGACTCTTCTCAGCCGTACCTACTCTCCACTAGAAAAGGAAGCTGAATCCTATGGAAATGGGAAGGGAAAATGAATCTTAGTTCATTAGTGAAGCCTTATGATATGTCTTCTGAGCAGGATCTCAGCCATTGTTTTAATTACATTATTTTAGCAGGATCACTAGTTGTGTGCTAGGTAAACAAAATGATGCAATCTAAGTGACCAGGGGGAGCCAACATGGTTTGGTGGTTTGAACCTTAGACTATTACTCTGGAGAACAGGGTTTGAATCCATGTTCAGCCATGAAACCCACTGGGTGATCCTGGCCAAGTAACACTCTGTCAGCCTCAGAGGATGGCAATGGCAAATCCCCTTTAAAGAAACTTGCCAAGAAAGCCCTGTGATAGATTCACCTTAGCGTCACCAGAATTTGAAAATGACGTGAAGGCACACAACAACAAAAAGAGGGAAGGGGGGGAATCTGTCTGCAGAAATTGTAGTAAAACACACACACACACACAAACAGCTTCTTAGGCATCTAGTTCCTGACCTTATTCTGCTGGAGATCCTTACTCCATTATGCTGCAACAGACAGAGCAGCTAATCCCACTCCATCCTATTATGCCTGCCTCCTTCTTAGTGACTGGGTTAGCTTTCAGTTTCTAGTTGCCCAACAACAAGAGGTGACACTTTAACTCTGTAATCTTTAAAGCAATACTTAGCCAGAGAGCATCAAACCACAAACAAGGCAAACAATATTAACTCCCAATTAAGAAAATCCTTCTTGCTATTTGATTTTCTTCTTCCATTTTTTTTTTTTTTTTACTTTGGATTATTTTTTTTAAAGGACCTCACCTGGAATATTAGATTCTCTTCTGGGCACTACAACTCATGAAAGATGTTGACAAGCTGGAGTGTGTCCAGAGGAGGATGAACAAAATGATGAAAGGTCTGGAAACTATGCCCTATGTGGAACAATTTAGGGAGTTGAGTATGTTTAGTCTGGGGAAGAAAAGATTAAGGAGTAACATGATAGCCCTGCTTAAATATTTGAAGGGATGTCTTATTGAGGATGGAGCAAGTTTGTTTTCTGCTGCTCCAGAGAACAGGACCTGAACCAATGGGTTCAGACTGCAGGAAAGAGATTCCACCTCAATATTAGGAAGAACTTCCTGAAGGTAACAGCTGTTTGACTATGGAAGACACTCCCTCGGAGAGTGGTGGAGTCTCCTTCTTTGGAGGTTTTTAGAGAGTCTGGAAGGCCATCTGTTGGGATGCTTTGATTGTTTCTTCCTGCATGGCATGAGGTTGGACAGGGTAGCCTTTGGAGTCTCTTTCAACTCTTCCTTTTCTTTTGCTCCCACTTCTTTCCCATGTTGGTGACTCCTGATGTACAGTGTTCATGAGGAGAATCCAGCAGAGATTGCTGTTTGTTAAAACTTCACCTGCCATGGCTTGGAATTAAGGCAGTATATTAGAAAAAGCTAGAAATCTACAAAAAAAAATGTCTCTTCCTTTCACACTCTCTGGGAACTGCTTTCAGTCAAAGTATGTGTCTGGAAAACAAACATGAAAGAGAGAAACCTCTCTCTCACAGAAAAAGTGGGAGGTTGGGACTCCTCAGAATTCCCTTAGCTCATTTCAAAAGTGCAAATGTGCTCTCTCTCTCTCTCTGAGGCATTCATTATATCTCATGGTCATGCCACGTCCAGCCCTTCTGCACATAGGTAGATATGCAAGAAGAACCTGGGGAAAGTTGTCTTTTCATCTGCTGTACTTTTCCTCCTTAGATTCCTAGTGGAACGCTATTGTGGCTCTACAGGGGTAAAGCTTCCTTTCTTGAAATGGGAAATCAAATCTTGACTCTTTTATTCTGTGGAACAGAAATTCTTGACCGAAGATGCTGTTTGACTTGGGGTGACTTCTTGTGATCTTTTGCGACCAACAATTCCATGACAAACTTTGCTTTGCGGCTCTGTAAAATTGCCACATATCCTCAATGCATGTCTACACAGAGGTGGGCCTCATGTGTTCAGTGGGTTTCATCCCATCCCATCATGCAGAAATAGTGTAGTTTTGACACTAATTTAACTGCCATGGCTCGAGGCTATGGAATTCTGGGATTTGTAGTTTTGTGAGATATTTAGCCTTCTCTGGTATCATGACAAACTACAGATCCCAGGACTCCACAGGATGGAGCCATGGCAGTTAAAGTGGTGGCAAACTGCATTAAATTCTGTAGCCTAAGTGAGGATATGACTATACCCTCAAGTCACTATGAAATCCTATCTATCAGTTCCAAATATGTCCATCCACTGCCAAATATCTAGTATGGTCATGCGTTTTGGTTTACAAAGGAGAGTCCTCTGTATGACAGGGTCTTAGAAAGCAGTCTTCTATTTGAAGGGCTATCAAGTCCTTATTTAAAGATGATGAGGATGAGGATGATTTAAAAAGAAAATCAAGGAGTTTTAATTTCCAACCAAATGATTAGCAAACTGGAAAGCAGGCACATAGGCTATCTGCTCACAGTCCTTCCCAGGCATGGTTAATTTTTTTTT